CGTGTGGATATGAGCACTTCTGCGCCGCTTTTATAGGCGCACACGTACAAAGCCAAAATTATGGGCTTCTTTGTTGTCTTTACGCCCATGTTTCACCGAAATCCCCCGCCTTGCGCGCGGCAGTCAAAAAGACAGCCTGGCTCCCCTTGAGTGTGAGCGTGAGTGTGTGTGTGTGTGTGTGTGTGTGTGTGTGTGACTGGCCCCTTGTCTGCCGCGTTTCATTTCGTACATTGCCTGTTACGACGCCAGGACACGCGAACCAGCAGCAAGAACAACAACAACAACAACACAGGCCGCTCCAATCTGAGCCAGGAACAACAACAACATCGGTGCAACAGATGTGCCGCCGGGGGCGCGTACGACTTCACGACGAAAGAAAACAGCAGAATTTTCGCCATTATTTTTTTTTTTAATTGATTTTCCGGTGTAGCCTTTTGTTGTTGCTTGCCATTGCGAGGAAAGGCGGGCGATGCAGCTGCACTCGGCGCCCCGAGCCAGCGGCTATTTCCGGCCGTTCTCGTAAAAGGAAGCGAGTGAGAGGGAAGAAGGAAGCGGCGCGGCGCCGTGCGAGACGGAGAGGGACCGGCAATGAATACTGCACGATGAGTAGCCCGGCCATTCAAAATGCACCAGGCTGGCTGGCTGGCTGCACGATGGGCCAGAAGGCTGGAGGAGGCGGCCAAAACTCTAGACGCGTTTTGAGCTCCAGAGTCGCTGCTGAAAAAGACCCGAATCGAGAGCATGTGACCCCACCAATGGATTCCTCGTTCAGGGAGCAATCCATTGGTGGGGTCACACGTTCGGTTTAAGTCCCATTCAGCGACTCTGGAGCTCAAAACGGTTCTGGAGTTTTGTCCGCCTGCGCCGGTCTCGGCCGGGCTTCTGGCCCACTGTGCGTCGGTGCCGTGGCGGCTCCACTTTGAGACATTTGACCGGCATGGCACTCAAAACTGCTGAGGCACTCCACTGACGTCATGGATAGAAACGTCTGTCTCTCCCAGGACTGCTTCGGCCATGCTCTCGCAGTGCAACAGGTCCAGGCAGGCACCCTCACCGAAGGCCACCCCGGCCATAACGGCCCGACACAATGACTCCCCTCGTCGTGCTCCGTCTCTCTCGCACTCATGGGGCGTGCCGTAGGGCCGCAGCGAGTGCGAGAGAGACGGAGCGTGCGTCACGCCCCTCCAATCAGAGGCCCCGGCGTGCCGTCCGCCCTAATCATGCACTCAGCCCGCTCAGCCCGCTCGCTCCGTCTCTCTCGCACCCCCACGCGACGCCCCGTGAGTGCGACAGAGACGGAGCGACCAAACCAGTCCGCTTGCCTACGTGATGCCACGCCCCTAACTCGGTTATTGAATTCGATTCCCCGGAGCCGTGTGTGTTGCGGTGTGTGCCAACACGGCCCCGCCCGCACGCGAGTTTCGCCGTACACTCGCAGCGACACTGCCGTAAAAAAAAACGAGAAAGGAACGAAACGACAAACAAACTAAAGTGGCATAACTACGTTCGCGCGTGGCGGGGTGTTCTTGTTGCTGTCCTCACAGTGAAGTTGTTTGCACATGTCGGCCCTTCACTGGCGCGGCCCTCAATTGGTTACACGCTTTTGACGGCCGGACAGCCGCTGTGCGCGCTAACCATTCGCCATTCGTGTGTGTGTGTGTGTGTGTGTGTGTCCGCACGCGTTGTGTTTGCGTTGCCCATATAGCGGCATACTGGCCGTGCACGCTGGACTGCGCTGGGCTGGGCTCGGCTTGGCTGCGTTGCACGGTCGGTCGAAGTTGTTGTTGTGTCTCCCTGCTCCCTCCCTGGGCGGTGCGGCAATGTGCGGCGGCCGCGCCGCCACTGGATCGCCTGACTTTTGCATGACATGCATAGTGGCGCGGGAGCGGCGGCAGCGGCCTCAGAGCCCTGTCTCTCTCGCACTCGTGGGGCGTCCCGGTGCGTGCGAGAGAGAGACAGAGCGGCGGATAACGACTCTCGGAAGCGGACTGCAGCGGCAGCGGCGCCGCCAACAACATCGGTATCAACATCAGCTACTTCGTGACCGTGTCCGCGTCCCCGCGGCCCCTCCCCTCCCCTCCCGGATGGCCCGGGTGACGCGCAAGGCCGCACGCAGAGGGAGCAGCAAAGTGCACCCGCCTGCCCGTTCGTTCGAAGCGCAGACACATGCTTGTGCAAGGGGCGGGAGGGGAGGGGGAAGGAGGGGGAAGGGGAGCGGGAGTGGAGGGGAAGGAAAAGGGGAGGTGCAGGAGAGGGGAAGGGGTGGCTAAGGGGAGGGGAGGGGAAGGGGTGGGGAAAGGAAGGGAAGGGGAAGGGGAGGGGAGAGGAGGGGAAGGGGTGCTGGGTGCTGCTTTGCAAGACAGCGAGCCGAAGGGGACTGGGTGAATGAAAGAAAGTGGCTTCACTTGTCCTGCCCGCCCACGCCAGGCCCGCCTCAAGAATGATTCCGAGAGTCCCTTGAGCCGCTCTGTCTCCCTCGCACTCGTGGGCCGTCCCGTTTAGGTGCGAGAGAGACGGCAGCGACGAAGACAACTCTCTGACGCAGCCTGCTGGCCCCGCCTGGCCCCGCCTGGCCCCGCCTGGCCCCGCCCGGCCCCGCCTGGCCCCGCCTGGCCCCGCCTGGCCCGCCTGGCCCCGCCTGGCCCGCTGCCGCCTGGCCCCGCCTGGCCCCGCCTGGCCCCGCCTGGCCCGCCTGCCGCCTGGCCCCGCCTGGCCCCGCCTGGCCCCGCCTGGCCCCGCCTGGCCCCGCCTGGCCCCGCCTGGCCCCGCCTGGCCCCGCCTGGCCCCGCCTGGCCCCGCCTGGCCCCGCCTGGCCCCGCCTGGCCCCGCCTGGCCCCGCCTGGCCCCGCTGGCCCCGCCTGGCCCCGCCTGGCCCCGCCTGGCCCCGCCTGGCCCCGCCTGGCCCTGCCCACTCCGTCACGCTGTCTTAAGCCCCCTGCGATGGCGCGGCGCTCTGCCGGGGCGTGAGACATGTGCGCCGACCGCATTTTCATCGGCGGCGGCGTTTGGCTGAAATTTAGCCGGCGGCGGCGGCGACGCCGGCGTCTGCGCCGATGTCTTGATCGGCGGCGGCGGCGGCGGCGCGGGCGGCGTGGTTGACTTAAATTTGGTCTATTTTCTCAATTTAAAAACATGCCAATGAAAAGAAAACACAATTTGATGGACTAGTTCTTTAGGGTGGGCTAGTTTCGTTACAAAGGTAAAAATTAAGCAATTTAAACACTCCAATGAGATTTTGTTCTCGCGGCGGAGAACGTGCTCGTCGGGTTGCCTATCCCTGGGCGATGGAAATGCAAATATTTTGGGCATTTAAGATCGCGCCGCCGACGCCGCCGCCGGTAAAATCATCGGCGGCGGCGCGGCGGCGCGCCGCAAATTTTTGGTCAGCGGCGGCGGCGTGGTAAAATTTGTCGGCGGCGGCGCAGCGGCGGCGCGGCGCACATGTCTAGGCGTGGCTCAATTGGATGACGGCGCGTCGTGTCCACCCTCGTGACCCTCGTGCCCTCCTGAGTGAGGGCTGGACGCCAAAGTGGCTCCTCCCCTCTCTCGTCTCCTCCGCCGCAAAGTGGGCCTGAAGACCGGCGAAGGTGACCAAAACTCTTGAGGAGCTCGAAGCGGTGGTCGTGGAGGAGGTCGTGGAGGAAGTAGCGGCCACACCGCAAGGCCCCGGGCCTCGCAGCAGACCCACAGCATCCCTTTGTGCTTGCATTCACAGCGGCCAAATTTGCTCAGCAACCGTCCGCGGATTCGGCGCGCAGCCCTTCCAGATTCCCCTTGTTTTCCTGCTTTTCTCTCCATTTTGCGGCTGATGTTTCCTTTCTCTGTCTCACTGTCTCTCTCATTTGCTGCAAGCGAAGCTCGTTCCCCGCCTGAGGAGGATCGGTGTGAGTGTATGTGGAGTCTGCCTGCCAGTCTGTCTGCCTGCCTTTCTGCCTGCCTGTTCGTCTGTGTGTCACGGTGCAGTGATAACAGAAAGGCTTCATGCATCACTATGGCTGGCCCTACCTGGCCGTGCCTGGCCGTGCCTGGCCGTGCCTGGCCGCGCCGCGCTCCGCGGAGTGGAGATCAAAGAGCCAAAGAGGCCACCGTGTCAATCCTCTTCGTGCATTGTGCATTGCCTTGCACTGCTCGCCCTTCATTATTCAAACTTCCGCTTCCATTCGCAGCGCCGCGCGCCGCTCGGACCAGAAGCCAAGCCAGAGACGGGACCGGACCCGGAGGCTGCTTTGTTTCTGGACTGTTTATTTTTCTTGCTGTTGTTGTTTTTCGGCGCTTCTTTTCGTTCGCGCGTCGCGTCCCGGCCTTGGGCATGCCGTGGGCATGCGGGGTGCGGCCAGGAAAGCACTTTACGCGCGAGAGCCGCGGCGCGGCGTGGCAGAAGCAGCAGCAGGTTGGCTTCCGGGGAGCTGCTTCCAGAGCACTTCCAGCAAGCTCTCCAGCAGGTCACACCCTTTTCCATCAGCTCGGCCGCGCGGCTTGCCTTCGGCTTGCCTACACATTCGAAGGGGTTTCGAGAGGTCAGAATAGCATTATAGCGTCGGGCACCCCTACAATCCGGACCTCCCCCCCCCCCTTTTTCCCACCTGTCGCGGCTCAAGCTCGCCGTGACCCTTCCCATCCCCGGGCCGCGGCCGGGCCATCACGTCCGTGTCCAAGTCCAGCCCAGCAGACTGATTCCGAGAGTCGTCGCTCTGTCTCTCTCGCACTCAGGGCGTCGCGGACAGGTGCGAGAGAGACAGAGCGGCGAAAAAGGCTTTCGGAATCAGTCCGCCGCCGCGGCCGCCTTGCCGTTTTCATTCCGTTTTACAACCACTTTCGGACGGCGAAAGCGGAGCGCGGCCCGAACGAACCAACGGTCCCACCCGGCTACTTTGTCTTTCCATTTGTTCAGTTACCTCTCCGCGCGCCGCCGCCGCCGCCGCCGCCGCTGCGGCCTGGAATTTTTCATTCGTCCTTTTTTTTCGAAGAGAAATGAAGAAATGAAAAAATAAAAAACTTACCTCATCTACGATAATGAGCTCCCCGACGTCCTCCAGCACCCTCGAGAAATGCGCCACGCCTGCAACAAATCAGGACATTTTAACGCAAGAAAAATCATTATTTTGACCATTGTCTTTTCTTTTTTGGTGGCTAACTTTTATCCACCACCACCGCCTCTACCAGCAGCACGGCGGCCTGTCGCGTTAATGGGAGCCGCTCTTCGTCTTAATAAAACCAACCCCCACCCCTACGGCCAAGCAGCCACGCTCCCTTCCCGGATGTGCACGCCTCAGAGCTGCCAACTACGCAAAATGCATGCAGTATGCATGAAACACCCACGTGGGTTTCGTATTCAAACACACACACACACACACACACACACACACACACACACACACACACACACACACACACACACACACACACACACACACACACACACACACACACACACGCACACACACACGGAGAGTGCGTGCACGTGCTTCAGACCGCGCACGTCATCGCGAAACACGCTCGCATCACATATTTTCAGAAAAGAAACACAAAGATAGAGAGAAAGTTCCCCTCACTGCCAAAAGATTGATACGCTTCACTTCGGGCCGCGCGTCGGCAGGGCCGCTTCTCCCTCCGAGCACCGGCAGCACGGTCTGATCCCGCGGTATCCTACACTGCAAACAAAGGGTCCTTTTGTTCTCGCTCTGCGCGCCAAGAAGATGGAGCAGTCATCTCCACGCAGCACACGCAACGCATGCAAGGAATAACTCCAGGGGTGCTGCTGCAGGGCAGGCGTGAGGCTGTGAGTGCTCCTCAGTGTGTGTGTGTGTGTGTGTGTGTGTGTGTGTGTGTGTGAGTGTGTGTGAGAGAGAGAGAAAGAGAGAGAGAGAGAGAGAGAGAGAGCGCACCTGCCGATCCGTCTGTCGGTCTGTCTGTCTGCTTGTCCGTCTGTCTGTCTGACTGTCTGTCTATGTGTGCGCGCGCGTGTGTGACAGCTACAGGCCTCTATCAAAAGAGAGAGACAGACAAAAAAGAATGCGAATTGCGTTTCTGCGCCCTGCCCTGGAGCGGCCCGGAGCGGGGGAAGGGAGCCGTGCGTTATTTTTGTTTCCCACTCACGTATTTGGCGGCAACATTTCAGCATTTCGCGTGTCTGTGACTCGGCTCCGCTACGTTCGCTCCTGTCTGTCGGATCGCGAGCCACGTCGCCGTCCTCCCAATCAGGCGCGGCAGGCCGGCAGGCACCGGGAACGAACCCGCGTCGGAAGGATGGGATGAAAAAGAAGAAAGGGAAAGAAGACGCAAACGAGGTTTAACCCTTATCCAGATGCAACGTCCATGGGGTTTGCTGATTCGAGTGCACTACAAATATTTCTCTTTGGAGTCTGAATTGGAAGGAGGGGGTTTTTGATAATACATCGGGAGCGGGCTGGGTCACGCGGCAAAGGTTCACGCGAGTGGTGACACGGCGCACAGTGGATTTGCCAGAAGACCGGTGGAGGCAGCCGAAACTCCAGACGCGTTTTGAGCTCCAGAGTCGCTAAATGGGACTCGAACCGAACGTGTGACCCCACCAATGGATTGCCCTCCGAACGAGGAATCCATTAGTGAGGCTGGCAAGGCCCTTTTTGGACTTTTTTGCCTGCTCTGCTCAGGTCGCTCAACTGACTCGTCCTGCATAATGGGTACCGCAGCGAGCGCCAACACTACGCACACACACACACACTTATACGCCGTTGATACATTCATATGACACATACACACACTGAGTCGGCGTGTTCAATGTCATTGTCCTGGGGGTCACAAACCGCGGGCCAATGCCTTGGTGTGTGTATGTGTGTATGTGTGTGAGTGAGTGCGTGTGTGTGTGTTGGCGGCTCCAGCAGCACTTTCCCCTTTCTGCGGCTGCAACAAACCACGTTATGTCGTAAGTTTCGGAGCGGAGCAGCCGAGCAGCCCCCCAGGCCGGTGCAGAAAGGAGGAGGGGGGGGGGCAGAAGCCGGGCTATGCCTCCTCGGCTAACAAAGCTCTACCCCACCGGCCTGGCTTGCGTGGCTTGCCTGGCCCCGGCAGCCCCGGCACCGCCACCGCCATGCCCTCGAGGGCAAACAGCGAGGACGGGTTGACACCAAGCAGGGCCAAGCCGTGGGCCAAGCAGCAAGCAGGGCGTCGAGCCAGGTACACTGTACTTGCGGCATGCGAGCCCCCCACTCCCACCCCCTGTTGTGATTCCTGGACCGCTTTTTGCGAGGGGGCAAAAACTCGCGCAATCATGTGTACACGGCCCCCGAAATCACACGCGAATCATTGAGAATCACGCGAAATCAAGCAATCCGAAATCAGCCAAAATCACTAAAATCGACCGAAATTAGGCAGAATCACACGAAACCAGGCCAAATCAGTCCGAAATCATTTCTTTCCGAACACAATCACACGCAATCACGCTCAACATCACCCTGGTGCGTCGCGAAATAAGGCAAAATCAGCCATGAAATCAATTAAAACCATGCGCAATCATTGTGTTTTCCGAATCATGTGTACACGAAAATCCCGAGTTTTTGCCCCCTCGGCTTTTTGTCGTTTCTAATTCCGTGGGCTTTCTGCTGGGCGCCGCCCGCCAGCAAGGCGGGGCGGGTTTATCTGTCTCTCTCGCACGCGCTGCGCGTGCCGTATGGTGCGGCAGGTGTGCGAGAGAGACAGAGCGAGGCAGTGCTCGCGGAACCGGCCTGAGCCGGGGCTCGGCTGGCCGGACGGGGCGGTCCCCAGACGCACATCCAGCAGGCGCGCGCCGTCCAGGCCGTCCAGGCCGTCCGCCAGGCTGGTGCCGAGAGTCGTCTCTCTGTCTCTCTCGCACTCGCGGGGCGTCCCGCATGGGTGCGACAGAGACAGAGCGACGGGAAGGACTGCTGGGCAGCAAGGCGCCGCCAGCGCTGCGGGGCTCTGCTGCCTAACACCCAGAATTGCTAGTGAAATATTTAGCGCCGGCCGAGGCACCTGGGAGGCATGGCGGGCATGGCACGCCGAGATGGGTCTTGATGGAGAGCGGCGGCTGTGTATGGCCCTCTACATCAAGGGGGATGACCCGTGCTTCACACCTGCGTGGCTCGCAGTGTGGTGCCCAGTGGTGCCTTGCCCACCCTGGGCGTCTTTGCCCCCCCCCCCCTTTTCCCCTGGACGACTGGAGGACGGCGTGGGAGCAGTGGATCGCCCCGTCCTGACGAACGACCGCCGGCCGGCAGTGCGTTTTTCTCTCATTCCCGCCTCTTTATTTACTGCCCCTGCAGACCGATTCCGAGAGTCGTTCTCGTCGCTCTGTCTCTCTTGCCCTGGCACGGGGCGTCCCCTGAGTGAGAGAGAGAGAGAGAGAGACAGAGCGACGAGAACGACTCTCGGAATCAGTCTGGTTGCATCGCAGCGGCCTGACTCCCTCCTCCGAGAAGTGCGTCGGCGTCGGCGTGCTGTGCTGTCTCTCTCGCACCCCTACGCAGCGCCCCATGAGAGCGAGAGAGACAGCGACTCGGTTCGACACCAGCTTGCGCCGTATTAATGCGACAGTACCGGCCGTAAAGCGACAGGCACGCGCGGCGGCTGCGGCGGCAGTGGGCTGGCCGGCTTCTCCGAGGGGGTAATCACTCGCGTAATACCCTGTACACAAAAACCGTGTATTACGCGTAATACACGTGATCGTAATACCATTTTTGTGTCAAATGTGCCAAATTTTGGCATTTTAGGGCCGTAATACACGTGTAATACACCCGCAATACAGCGTAATACCGAGTAGTCTGTACACGATTTCTTGAAGTGTTTACCCCCTCGGGCTGCTCGGGCTGGCGGGCTGGCGGCCCGGCCCAATGCACGGCGGGGATTTTGAAATGACGATCGAAATTTACTGCCGGATGGATTCCCCGGCCACCTGCTGCCCGCCGCCAGCCCACCAGCCAGCCAGCCGTCGGCCCATCTGCGGACCGACCGACACCGGAGTAAACTGGTGCTCTGTAAAAGCCTTCCGAACCGCGAGACGCACCCTGGCTGCCGCACAGTACGCCAAAAGACCGGAGGAGGCGGCCAAAACTCTTGACGCGTTTTGAGCTCCAGAGTCTCTAAACAGAACCTGAATCGAGCGTGTGACCCCACCAATGGATTCCTCGTTCGGAGAGCAACCTACCTCCAGAGTCTCTAAACAGGACCCAAATTGAGCGTGTGACCCCACCAATGGATTCCTCGTTCGGAGAGCAATCCATTGGTGGGGTCACACGATCGGTTTGAGTCCCGTTTAGCGACTATAGAGCTCAAAACGCGTCTAGAATTTTTTCCGCCTCCACCGATCTTTTGGCTCACTGTGTGCCGCAGTGGGCTCAGAGCGAGATTTTCCAGGGGTTCAAATTGTCTTCCTGCCAGCGCTGGTGGTGCATACGTGCACGAGACTGTCCCTGACGAGGCCCCCACCACCTGGGTGTCTCGCGCGGCACAGCGGCACAGTCGAGGAAGTTGCCTACCTTAGCGGCGCCTGCGGTCGCACTGCGGCACTCCGCGTTCCGCGTGCAGCGGCCGCCCTCACGGTTACGTCGACACCGCCCCACCCCGCCCCGCCACGCCCCGCCACGCCCCGCCACGCCCCGCCACGCCCCGCCACGCCCCGCCATGCCCCACCACGCCACGCCACGCCCCACCACGCCACGCCCCGCCACGCCCCGCCACGCCCCACCACGCCACGCCACGCCACGCCCCGCCACGCCCCGCCACGCCCCGCCACGCCCCGCCACGCCCGCCACGCCCTTCGCCTTCACGACAATTCCATTAACAGCTGCTCTCCCTTAAAGTTGCCACTCGCCCCCCGACACTCCCCCGACACGCCCCGCACCGCGTGTTCCTGGCCGCGTGCAGAAAGAGCGGGGACGTGTTCGGGGACGTGTTCGGGGACGACGGGGACGCAGCAAAGGTGACCCAAATTTTGTACAACGCAAAAAAAAAATCAACACGAGGGAGGCGGGGGATGACGGTTCCCGTGTGGAAACGCCGTCAGGTTTGGGATGCTGTATACGTGGGTTGGACACGGAAATGACCTGCCTGTTAGCGACCTCG